CAGCTCACGGCAAGACACACCCAGATGTGTGTGTACATGTGTCCAAAAACCCTAAAAAGGGAGAGATGCTGGCACAACCAAGGGGGTTCCTGGGAAGGCTCAGTTCAAAGGTTCTGCGGAATCCCCTTCCTGTAGAGAGTGTGACCACCAGGTGGCGGCCAAGGCCACGACCAGGCAGGGAGAGCAGCTCTGCCAGGAAAGCCAGATGGACCAGCAAGGCCGTGACTGACCCCAGGACCCTCAGCCAGAGACAGGAGTGGGCAGGAGAGAGAAAGAGAGAGAATGTGCACACGTGTGCTCCTGTGTGGGGTGGACATACAGCTGGACAGACGACGCATTTATTTCCCTCCTTTGAGGGGACTTTATAAGTCTTCCCTTCCTCTGTCCAAATCTGCCTGGGTGCTGGTGACACAGAGAAACACGACTTTATTTTGCCCTTGAAGAGCTCCTAGACGTGGGGCTGGAGCCTGGCACAGACAGCATTTTGGGGTGAGTGGGACGGGAGTAGAGAGGGAAGTGCCGGGACTGGGGTTGCCCCAGGGACCTGCCTAACCCAGGGGTGGGGGAGGAGCTCCCCACAAGGACGGCCATCTAAGCTGATCACAGAGGGTTTCGGAGAGCCTCAGGTACCATAAAAGCACACGTGTTATCTCCGTTTGCTCCTGGCAACCCGACAGGGCAGACACTCTAGAACCAATTTCACTTTCCGAAAGGCTAGGGGGTCCCTCCAGCAGTGAGAAGCAGAGCTAGAATCTGAGCCAGTCCATGTAGTTCCCAGGCTAGCGTTTGGCCACCACGCACTGCCAGGGACAGTACCAGGGTGAGAGCCAGTCAAGCAGTCAAGACATCTAGCCAGATCTGGACGGAAGGCAGGTGCCTCTGACCCTGGTCCCAGGACAAGTTGGTGGCTCCAGCCAACTGACTTCCCCATGAAGTTGGTCTCAGAGGGCCAAGCAAGTGTGTGTGACTTGGGTCACACCCCAACACCCTCTGCCAGGACCTCTACCCACAGCCTGGGGGAAGAAGCTCTCCTGCAGTGTTCCTGCTCTGAGAGCTCCCTGGAGCATAACAAGCAATACATCTGGGTGCCCCAACCATGAGAGAGTCTTTTTTTTTTTTGGAGAGGTTTTTGCCATAGGGCGTGTGTGCTCACCAGAAAGACAGAGAGAGACAGAGAGATAAAAAGCAAGAAATCACCCCCCAGCGGGGATGGCCACGCCACAATCCCTTCTCCTCCATTCTCCTCTCAGGATCTTGGCACACATGCACACGTGCCCAGCATGAGTTTAAGCCACCGGGTCCAGGATTCAAACCATGGTCGACTACATGGGAGTCCAGCGACATAGCCATTACACCAACTGCTGGTGCCTGAGAGAAGTAATCTTGAAGCTCATCTTGACCAGTTAGCACTCTGCCCGATAAGAGGTGAGGCCTTTCAAAAATCCACCACCCTGGGCCAGCCTGTGTCATGGCACTTAAAGCCATTGGATTCCACATGACTGACCATGTGGTTCAAATCCCTGACTAGGTGGCTTGAAAAACACACCAGAAGTGTGTGCATGTGTGCCCAAAAATCCTAAAAAGGGAGAGAAACAGAGAAGGGATTGCAGCATGGCTATGCCCCATGGGGGGTGCTCTCTTGCTTTCTTGCTTTCTCTCTGCATCCATCTCTGTCTGTCTGTCTGTCTCTCTCTCTCTCTGTCATATATACACACGTTATGGCAAATTTGTTAAAAAGAAAAACACCCCCAGGATGGAAGTCCCTCTCCAAGTCTAACTGCAGTAGACAATGCTGCAGTCTCTATTCAACTGTGCAGTTCCTAGGTGAAGACTTTCCTTTCTTGCCCTAGTGTGGGTGGAACCTGTCATGTAACCCTGTGAAATTCCCGTTTTAGGTAGGGGAGGAGAAGAAAGGTGCAAGCCCTGTTTCAGGAAGCAGGAAGAGCAAGGATGTCCCGAACAGGAAGAGAACGTCCTGATCGGAAAGCTGGGGCTTAGGCAGCCCGATTGTGCAGCAGAGCCGCGGAGGGATCCACTGGCCATGATGTGGGCCTCCAATGAGTCATAAACCCTGTGATTTCCAGGAAGCTTGGGAGGTTGGGGAGCTAGGGAGCCAGCTGGAGAGAGAGGGCCTTGGGCACTGAGCTCAGCTGAAGAGAGGGGAAGGGAGACAGAGCTGGGCTGGAGACAGAGATGATGAGGACTGGGAGAGACAAAGAGAAGGCCAGCATGGAGCGGAAGGGGGGGGGGGTCCTACAAAGGAGGAAAATAATGGGGAAATAGGGAAAGCCCAGGCCTTTGGAGGGTTCCTGCAGGGGACCCAGCCCTCCATATGGCTGG